AAATAGATACTGTTTATTGCACTGTCTGACTATAACGCCCTGCATCATTCTCACAGCCTCACTCTCTTTCCCGCTTCCCCATGTAATGCAGCCACAGAAACGGGGTGGACTTTGACCATGTGTCTGGTTGTAGCTTGTGGATACACGGTGGAAGCTCTTTCTCAGCTCAGCCAGTTACATTTTAGGGTCTTTCTCAGTGATTTTTCCTTTAATAGTTGCTTACATATTTCTGGTGCAGCATGATTTTATAATATGTTTGTAATAGTTCAAAAATTGATGCAGTCAGGTTAATGAGAGAGAATAACACCCCCTATTTGGCATGAACTATACTGCCAGGTTGTGGTTCAGTGTTTCTTATGTAGCTTCATAGTTTCACTGTGAGGTAATGCCCGTGTTTGCCCAGAAACCTAGTTCCATGCAGTGTTTCACCATTTATCTGAATTGGTCCCTGTGCAATTTGGTTTGCACCGGAGGCCAGAGACCTCTGTTTTCCAAGAGGAATGTGACTGTCTAAGAGGCGCTGTCCCCTCTTGAGTAGGACTGTAGCAGCTGGCAGCTATTTAGTTTATCTGCCTATGCAAAGCTTTGCTGTGTGTGGTACGTGGTGAGCGGGAGCTGTGATGTAGCTCCCGTTAGTGTGAATGAATGGTGGACTCAGCTTCATGCTCATGCACGCTTGTTGAGGCACGTACCTCTGTGACTTGTTTTAAACTTATCTCAGTAACCACGTGCATCCCAGAGTTTGGATTCCAGCATCTCCTACACCATGTGAAGTTACAGTAGTACAGGACTAGATCAATGACTCTTACACTAGGCATGAATTCCCTATAGGACTCCCAGGGAATCTGTCCTAGAACCTCTTTCCTATTTAAAGACTAGATTGTTACATCACTTACAGTGTGTGTGAGATGTTGCTGAGCATACACTAGCCTAAGCAGTCACTGCAGTCCCCCCAGGCTCTCTCAAAGTGTGAGAGGCCTGGAGTGCGACACACCCATAAACCCAAATGCCATTGCTCTTCTGGGCATCCATCCCCCTAGTCTAAGTACTGCTGTCATAGTGCTATATTGGCTGGTTAGAGTAAGCCTGGGTGTAGGTTTCCTATGACTACCTCATGTGCTAAAGAGCTGTGGCCTTCTTTCCTAGTTGGGGGGGGGGGGGGGGGGGGGGGGGG